GATAGATTGTAACCCCCACAATGCCTGCTTTCACCCATAAGGGACCTTCAGTCGCAATACCGGCACACACCTGTGTGGCTGTGCTCGGCAAATTGTTGAATTCCTGGCGTTGCATTCAAGCCATATCCACCATAGGACGAGGGGCATGACACTGTCAAGACCTTTGCGCGTCTGCTTGTTGAGCCCGCGGTGATCATCAGGACACCAGTCGCACAAGGCGTCGTGTGCGGCGTCTTGTGGGCAAGGTTGCAGCGACCTTGCATGGCCATCCACATAGCGCGTGAAAAAGGGCATTCCACATCGAGGTGGTCAGACCTTTTCCTGGGCGTTGGCATAGAGCACGCAGAGGCCATGGCACTGGCAGCGGTTGGCGATCCACAACCAGTTTTGCACCGAGAGCCAGAGGTGCATCTTGCACTTCGATGGTGCCCATGACTTCGAGTTAATGTTGCCACAAGGAAAACTGGCTGCAACTTAGTTTTGTGAATGGAAGGAAAGGCAGGATGACACCATTTACCACTCTTGTGTTCGTGCCGTTGGTGTTAATTATGGCATTTAGACTTCGAAACCCTGACGATGCTGTGCATTCCAATTCAAATATTTTTGGGCTTGCCAGCCCACTAATGATAGCTCATTACTCGTGGGTATGATGACTCAACAATCTCACTATTCAGGTTCAAGTCATTGTGAAGTCGAACGTGGGTTCCTACTTAATAGGGTGTTTCCTCGCAAGTTGCACTTTTTTCTTTCTAGAAATGGATAATTGCATGTGCATTTAAGGCGGCATAAATATTCTAATAGGTTAACCCGTGATTTACCTATCATTTTATTATTAATGTGATTGCATAGAAGCAGAAGATTTTATTGACTTACCAAACATACAAAATGTTATTTGGTAAGCCAGTGAGAGGTGGGCAGTTGAAGTAGTTTTCAGTAAAACTGGTGCAAATAACAAATACGGGGAAGACCACAAAACCTTATCTTTTTAAGTAGGAGAGACTATTAGTCTAAATATCTATTAGAGGTTTTTTCACGATGAATGGTTGTCTGTGCACCCTTTTAGATATTTCCTAAGGAATGTGAAGTGAGCGTAGTTTAGTTGATTAGGTTCCTTCTGGTGGAACCTCCCACCCGAATTCAAGTCATAGACTGTGCATGGATGCTTGCAGTTTCCTAGATTTGTTTTAGGATTTGAAGTCTTTATTCTTTCATTGGTACGCAACATGCTCGTTGATAGCGAGGCTTTTGTGGTGACTTCGTCAATTTTAGGACCTACTCGCTCATTCTTTCGGAGGTGCTCATAGGGCTTGTGTGTGGTTGTGTTTGTAAGGCTGAGTACGTAAATGTATGTGTTTGAATGTCGGCATTTATACTATATTTCACAAAAAAAAATCTTTCCTTACAAATAAACTGGCACAAAGTTCTACAATGGCATATTTTTTATAGTAGCTATACTACACTAGTGTATATTCCAACCCAAGTGACAAACAGATATAAAGCCGAAGCATCAGACTTCTTATTCGGCTAAACACCATAGCTCGTACTCCCTCTGTACCGAAATACTTGTAGTTGGGGAAAACTAGTACAAGTTCCTCCAACTACAAATATTTCGATACAGAGGGAGTATATGTTTTATTTTTCATGCGATCCCTTTGTTTCTCCCAGGACCATGTGTATTACTACCTTTGTATCGAAATACTTGTAGCTGGGGAAATTAGTACAAGTCCCCCCAACTACAAGTATTTGGTACGTTATGCAAATATTTTACTGGGAGGTAATTCCATAGAAAGAAACAAACACATAAGACGGAAAAGGGCAAACAAGCAAATTGAAATAATCTCCTGAAGATCAAGATATCAATCTAAAACAAGGCCGACTGATGTGACTACCCTGACAATGGTTGAAGTAAATGCACAAGGCTTGCTTTTTTATTGAGCTTTCTTGATCTTAGTGTCACCTCAGGTTACTCCGCATGAAAGCATTCCATTCTTTGCAAGGTCTTCCCGACCTTAAATACTGACTTTACGAGAAGAGAAACTTTTGGAATAGACTTTGTACTCCCTTCTACTCACGATCAAAGTCAGTGTGTATATCATGTTCATGATGTCCCATGTGTGCTCTGCTCTGTGTTGCACACGAGGCAATGCACTGGGAAAACTTGGTGAATGCTGTTCAAGGCAAACATCTGATAGTTAGCGCAGGCTGCATCTCACAATGAAAAATATTTATAAGAACAATATCTGGACTTCAAAACGTGGAACAATAAAACTAGTTGCACCTGTCATGACATGGACCACTTAGAAACAAATAAATCTTTGACAAACTCAAAGGTAAAACTGGATCAGATTAACGCAAAGTACCAAAGTGAAGGCACAGATCTGGAAATAAACCTGAAATGTAAAATGTAGTGCTGAAATGCTAAAAAAACATCAAGGTTTCATTCCAACACGGTTTCTTTCTTTTTCTCTCTCTCTCTCTCTCAAAAAAAAAAATTTGGGCATTTCAGTGTGTTTTCACTAGCTGAAAACACTAGTAGAAAAATACCTAATAGTCCCGGTTCGTAAGGGCCTTTAGTCCCGGTTCATGAACCGGGACTAATGGGTCGTTACTAATACCTCCACCCATTAGTCCCGGTTCAAACACGAACCGGGACCAATGTGCCACCACGTGGCCCTGTGCGTCGAGCCCAGTCAGGGGGCCTTTGGTCCCGGTTGGTGGTACCAACCGGGACCAAAAGGCATCCACGCGTCAGCATTCC